CAATCTCATTAAGCAATAAAAAAGGGAAGATTTTTAGTTCTACTACATCTTACACACTTTTTTTGGATTCTATATTAAGTACCACATATCAAAGATCTTTTTATTTTTATCTTTTTTTCATTGTGCTTGTTTTGAGTTTAATTTGTTCTTATTGTTCTAGTTTCTTTCTTTCTTTCAATAGGAAGAGTGGACAGTGAGAGAGAGACAGAGAGAAAGGTCTTCCTTTTCCATTGGTTCATCCCCCAATGGCCGCTGGGGCCGGCGCATCGTGCTGATCTGAAGCCCGGAGCCAGGTACTTATCCTGGTCTCCCATGGGGTGCAGGGCCCAAGGACTTGGGCCATCCTCCACTGTCGCTCCCCCTCTTCGTGGAGGAACGACACAGGACCCTGCGCTGTTCTTTCGTCTGCTCGGCCCTCCCCGGGTTTGCTGCTGGTTCTTCCCGGGTTGGCTACTATCCCTTCCACCTCCGTGGAAGGGCAGTTCCCCCTGGCCACATTCCCCACTTCCGCAGGGGAGCGGCACACCGCCGGCCGGCTTTCTCGGGGGGCTGCACAGGTGTTCCCTCAGATGTTCCCCTTAGATGTTCCTGGTGCATGCCGTCTCTCTCCTCCTTTATAGTCCTCCTCTGCCAATCCCAACTCGGCTGCCCACACGCCGAGTATGCTGCTCTCCTCCAATCAGGAGCAAGTCCTACAGTTTATTGGTTGAACTGGAGGCAGCTGTGCAGAAGCTGTTTACTTCTCTCCCAGCGCCATATTGTGGGAGAGCAGATGCATAGAATAAGTCTTAATTCCAGTAACTCAGTCTAGTCCGGATTGCTCCCCACACTCCACTGCACTCCCGGGCCATAGCAGAGAGCTGGACAGGAAGAGGAGCGACCGGGACAGAATCCCGCGCCCTGACTAGGAGTAGAACCCGGTGTGCCAGTGCTGCAGGTGGAGGATTAGCCTAGTGAGCCGCGGTGCCAGCCTGTTCTAGTTTCTTAAGATGGAAGTTTATTTATTTGAGTGCTTCTTAGTACTTAGAGAATATAACAATATAAATTTTCCTCTAAGTGCAGTTAAAGCATCCAACATTTAATCAATTATACTTACAATTTTAATCAGTTCAAAATATTTTATTATTTTCTCTGAGATGTCCTTTTTGATTTACGGGTTATTTAAAATTGTGTTTCAGGGGCCAGCATTGTGGTGTAGTTGGTTAAGCCACTGCCTGCAATGCCAGCATCCCACATGGGCACTGGTTTAAGGCTTGGCTGCTCCACTCCCAATCCCGCTTCCTGCTAATGTGCCTGGGAAAGCAGCAGAACATGGCCCAAGTACTTGAGACCCTGCCACACACATGGGAGACCTGGATGAAGCTCTTGGCTCCTGGCTTCAGCCTGGCCCAGTACTGGCCATTGCGACCATCTGGGGAGTGAAGCAGTGGATGGAAGTGCCCTCTCTCTCCCTCGCTCTCTCCCTCCTTCCCTCCCTCTCTAACTCTGCCTTTCAAATAAAAGAAATAAAATCTTAAAAAATTATGTTTTAAATTTCCAAAATTTGGGAAATTTCTAGGTATATTTTGTGATTGATTTGTGTATTGTCATAGAACATACTTTTTTATTATTTCAATCCTTTTCAAGTTGCTGAGGCTCATTTTATGACCTAGAATATGATCTTCTTGCTCAACATTCCAAATACATTTAAAGAGAATATATCTTGCCATTGTTATTTGGAATGTTCTACAGATATCAGGTCAAATTGGTAGAAAATGCTGTCTGGGTATTCTAAAGTCTTGCTTCTTTCTGGTTGTTCCACTGATTACTGAGGCAGGAGCACTGAGATCTTCATGCACTGTGATGCATTGATCCAGCTTTTCTTCACGTATTCTGAAACTCGATTTGGGGTACATGCACATTTAGAATTTCTATCTTTTTGGTGAATTGCTCCATTTATGACTGCCTGATTTCCCTTTTTATCTCTGATCATTCCCCTTGTCTTGAGGTCTGTTATTTTCTAACATCAGTATAGCCATGTAAGCTTTCTTTTGATTCATGTTTAATTAGTCCTTGATTCATTGCCATCTTGTATTGTTCCTCACTCTCAGCCATTTTGTAATTATATTTCATGTGAGTTTCTTGCAAACAGCATGTAAGTGGGTCTTAAAAATTCCAAGCTAGACTGACAGTTCTTTAAGTACCTAAAAAATATTGAACCACATTTTTAAATCCATTCATTGATTAGGTGTTTCCACAATGAAATATAATTCAGCCATGAAATTTTGTCATTCAAAACAATGTGGATGAAACCAGGGTCCCTCTGTCTGATGGGTCACTCCCCAGATGGCTGCAATGGCCAGGCCTTGGCCAAGCCGAAGCCAGGAGCCAGGAGCTTCATCTGGGTCTCCTGCATGAGTGGCAGGTATCCAAGCACTCGGGCAATCCTCTGCTGCTTTCCCAGGCACATTGGCAGGGAGCTGGATCAGAAGTGGAGCAGCTGGGATACAAACTTATGCCCATATGGAATGCCGATGTTGCAGATGGCGGCTTGAGCTGCTACAGCACAACACCCCCTTTTTCTTATAGGTTCACCCCTTCCTGTCACTCTGGACAGGGACAGAAAGAGGGCTTCTAATGAGGCGACGTTGTCCATGCCCATTGTGCAGTTATGGAAAGCGGTTCCTGGAATGTAAATCATGAGATATGGGAGAGAAAAATTCAGAAAATTCACCATCATATTAGCTGTTTGAGTTTTGATTTCATCTCTGTCTTCAGTCTGCCTGCTATAATTTCTCTTTCAGTCCTCATGTAAATTTGATTTTCAGCCATAATAGGAAGAGCATGCATACTCCATCCCAGCCAGAAGCAGAAATGGAAGAGCTGTTTTCCTTTCAGTGAACCTGAAAGACCAAGTGTCAACCTCCACAGCTTGGAGATAAGGGAATATGTAAAACAGTAAGACAAGGACCTGTGGGGCTGGCGCTGTGGCCTAATGGGTAAAGCCACTGCTTGCAGTGCTGGCATTCCATATGGGCACCAGTTTGAGTCCCGGCTGCTCCACTTCTAATCCAGCTCTCTGCTGTGGCCTGGGAAAGCAGTGGAAGATGGCCCAAGTCCTTGAGCCTGGAAACCCCTTAGAAGCTCCTGGCTCCTGGCTTTGGATTGGCATAGCTCAGGCTGTTGTGGCCATTTGGGGAGTGAATCAGTGGATGGAAGACCTCTCTCTCTGCCTCTGCCTCACTGTAACTCTGCCTTTCAAATAAATAAACGAATCTTTAAAAAAAAAAAAAAGATAAGGACCTAACCCCTAGTACATGGGCGGTCATTAGGGAAGGAGGCCTGATAATTTGACTAGAGATTCTCTTAGGGTCCATGAATGAATACAGACAGAGAGAGATGGTTAGCACCTTTCATCAAAGCATTGAAAATTCACGGAGATGTCTGTCTCTTAGACTCACCACTCCTCTTTATCTTTCAGCAGCTGAAAACAACTTTACACATGAAGAGGGCACTGTGGTGGGTACCAAGTATGGATAAAACGCCTTGGGATTGAGATGATGTGAGCAATTTAAAAGAAAGTGGGGAAAAAAAGGGAAGACCAGAGAAAAGGTGATTCTAATTGTGGTTTAAGTATTTTCTGACTGCAGGAGAACAGATAGGCAAGAAGTGCAGAGCTGTATCCAATTAAAATCCTACTGTTAGAGAAAATGAAGCCTAGGAGATTGTGGGTGTCTTACTAGTTTATTTTGCAAAACGTCCCCTCCTGTGGCTGTCTATCTTTTCAAATGTAGTCACATGTAACGATAATTCCTGCCGTACTGACAGTCACTCTGTCCCCCTTCCTGGTCCTGTCCCCGATTTGGGAAGCCTTTCCTGATTCTCACCTCTCACCCCAACTATTCCTGTCCCATGCTCCTGTATCAGTGTGTCCCCTCTCCCCCAGGACTGACGGCGCTGCACTGTCTGTGCTCCGACTTCCCACTTAGACAGGTAAACGGGAGCTGGTCCAGGCAGGGGTGGTGCATTTTCTTGCTAAGGATGCATCTTTAGCACCTGGCTAATACCTGGCCCATGGCAGGTACCTAGCAAATATCTATTGACTACATACCCAACGCCCCCAGTGAAACAGAATACAGAAAAGTGAAGACTTCAAATTGACATTTTATTAGGCTCTTTGGATCTCAGACATGCCTTAAGTCCGTGTGTCGCCTTCTCTCCAAATTGACACTGTCCACACTGTCCAGCCAAGCCAAAGCTGGATATCTGGGGTGCTGAGTCAGCAGTCCCGTGATGAAAGAACACTCAGCAGGAAAGGCAAACCAGATGCAGGTTTTGGCTAAGGCTCCTTTGTCAGAAATGATCCAGGAAGATGGAAGGCATTTTGGCTGAAAGGATTCCAGTGGTACTGCTAGGTCCACAGCATTTTCTCTCTGGTCCTACTCCTTCTATGACAGATAACTCAAACACACTGGGGCTACGTCAAGTGCACCCTCATTCACTCACGGACACTTTGTATTTTGTCTGTTTTTGAGGCAAACATAGAGAATCACCCAAGCCACCAGTCACACATTACATAGGCAGGCTGCAAATCACTCCAAGCAAAAAACCTAGCATGGAAAGGCAGGAAGAGCCCTTCAAGACAGCTACTCCCAACAGCTTCCTCCGAAGTTTATACTTAGCTTTCCTCAACAACAGTCTAGACAAGCCAGCACCCACCCTGCCCTGAGTGCTTTGAGAACTCACTATTGTTCAAGGCAGTCTGCCACATTTTCAGATAAATCTTCCCTAGACTAGCAAACAGAAGGTACACGTGGTGACACTGTCACTCCTGTCCTCATGGTAGACATCACCAATCCATCATATAGTAGACATCACCAATCCATCACATGATAGACATTACCAATCGATCAAATGATTGACATCACCAATCCATCACATGACAGACACCACCAATCCATCACATGATAGACATCACCAATCCGTCACATGGTAGACATCACCAATCACTCACAAAGCTCTTTTTTTTTTTTTTTTTTTTTTTTTTTTTTTTTAATGTTTTATGTATTTTAATACAGAAGTACTTTCACACATAAAAACTGTTCTCCTTTATCTCAACTCCAGATTACATGATCTAAATGTAATAGAAACAGTAGGTTGAGGTGCATCTTCCGGTGTTTGGAAAGTAGTTTTTGTGTGCATGTTTTTACATGTTTGTAGTAGCCATGAATGTCTGTCTCTTCTCATTCACAATGATAGACTTTGGTGGTCCTCGTGTTTGAATTCAAAGTTTTACTCTACCAAAGACTTAGCCCCTCCGCCCCCTTATTGAAAGGCGTATTCCTGCTGCTCATTTCTAGGCTAGGAATCAGGGCAGCATTTTCCTAAATCTTCCATTGGCTAGACCATGGCTGTCCTCCAGTCCAGGAGAGAAGCACGTGGGCTTGCAGGGAGGCGGCCTCTTGTTTTTCTGGGTTATCAGGGCCTCCAAGTTGTCAGTTGTAGAAGGTTGTGAGAACTGGATTAGGGTCAGTGGGAGGACAGGGTTAACTTGCGAAGCGCAGATTCTTCATTTGGCTTCAATTTACTTCTTAGGAGTTTTCATCTTTCTGATCATCCATCGTCTTTTATATCTCTTGGCATTCTGTTTTTTCTGGGTTCCCCACGCACTGTTCAAAAACTGGGCGGCAGCCTTCTTCACTGGTAAGCGCTTGTTGTCGAGAGACAGGAACTTGTTTACACTAGTTCTGTTGGTTCCTGGGCCATATAAAGATTCGTGTATGAAGGCCCTGGCCGCTTGCTGCCTCGAATCTCTCAGTTCTTGGTCTTTGAGCCTCAGGGCCACGTAGCTTTTATTCTGGCTGGTCTGCGGAGCGGCGGCCAGCTGTTGGAGGACGGCATCCGGAAGGAGCTTTCTCTTCTTTGGGGGTCAACATTCCAAAGCAGGTGAGGACGGTTACAGGCGGACTTGCTGCTGCCCCGCACGCGGGCAACTGGGCGGCTTAGGCCGGACACTGCCGCCCATCGCCACACCGGGTGTGCCCAAGCCCCTGTGGAGGCGCCCACCGCTCCCTGTCGGGGGCTCCCGGCACCCCTCACTCACAAAGCTCTTTCCCACCAAGTCTAGGCTTAGCCTCAGAATCATTCCCAATCCTTTTTTCAATGGAAACGAGTTCAATTTGCAGTCCCTGCCCAGTTACTGCAAGTTATTTCTGCCTCTTTAAGCCTTCTGCACATCGATCTTTGTGCCCTTGTGCGCACACAGAATGTAATAGCCTGCGGTGAAGACAGCTGGAGCCCCAGGGGACACGCCGGGGAAAGGCGGAGCCTGCAGCAGGGGTTGGGGTTAGGTCCTCCTACGCCTGAGATCCACAGGGAGAGCCGAGGTGGGTAACAGGGGTTTGCTAGGAGTTCAGTCTTTCCACTGGATTCTGACGGCTCACATCAAGTTCCCAGGGCGCCTGCAGGGCCGAGGGTGAGGGCAGATGAAGGCAGGCTACTTACGGTAAAGCTGGGGTGGCACCTCAGGCAGCGACTCCCAGTCCACCGAGTCCCTCAGCAGACCAGCATTGTCCTCTGAGAAAGCAGTCAAGCACGCTCTCCCCGACCTCCCCGTGAAAGCAGGGGTGAGGGCGTGAAGCAGCGGGCCAGCCGCTCTGGAGAACGCTGGGTCTCCTGAACACAGGACGGTCCTTTCCAGCTTCCAGAGGGGCCGGGGAGGTTCGGCTGTGTGCTAGGTCAGCACAGGCTTACTTTTAAATGGTTAAGGATGTAACACTTGCATGAAGCCTTCCGAAAAGTGGGGCAACCCTTGGTTCTCTGCAGGGGTGACATCGCCAGTTTAGACAATCCCGTCTTTGGCCTCATTATTCAGCATGCAAGAGGAATCCGCACCAGACCTCCCATTGGACTTCTCATCCATGACAAGCGAGCCAATTTTCTCCTCTGGCGGGTATGCCTTGTTCCTTTTGGCAAACGCCTGGCTGATTTCTCCATAGGTTCTGTTCTTGGTCTCAGGCAGGACAAGATAGAGGTACACGGCTCCTGTGACACAAACAGTGGCGAAGACCAGGAAGCAGTAGGTGTCCAGACTCTTCTGCAGAAAGGCAGACGCAAAGTCAGCAAGGAAATGCAGTGACCTGCCTGCAGACCCCCCGCGAGCAGGCTTGTCTTTACAGCTCCCCATTCACGTATTAAGGTTCATTCCCCAGATGGCCGCAACAGCCAGGGCTGGGCCAGGTCAAAGCCAGGAGCCAAGAGCTTCATCCGGCTCTCCCATGTGAGCGGCAAGTACTCAAACACTTGGGCCACCTTCTGCTGTTTTCCCCAGGCCATTAGCAAGAAGCTAGATTGGAAGTGGAGCAGCCGGGACATGAGCCGGCGCCCATATCAGATGCCGGCACTGCACGCGGCAGCTTTACCTGCTGTGCCACAATGCTGGCCTCCTTCAGGCAGTTTTACACGAAGCATGAATAAATCAGCCTTAAACCCTGGTGAAGATGTGGCTATGACAGCTTTATTTTTTTAAGTTAGGCATTGAAGGGTTGATCACTGTGAAAGAAACACATGATGCAGATTGAACAGCGCCTTCGGTTTCTACTTAGCCAATAAGTCACATGACACAACTGTGACTTCGGAGGGGAAGACAGGTGCCCCAGTTCGTAAGAAAGGTGTGGAGCACAGACTAGGCCAAGATGACACAGGGACAGCCTTGCACAAGTACAGATTAGAAATAGAGAAGCGTTGGTCGCAATCACGCTGGCTTCTGTGTCCTAATCGCTCTTGGACTAGACCTTGCCCTTGGCTGTGAGCCAATCAGCGCTACAGCTCCTGTACTTGGCACAGTGGCTGGTAGGAGGCTCTAGGTGATGTCTGTTGAATAAAACACTTTTGGCTCCAGCAGCTGAGGCTGTCCCCTTTCATGCAACAGATGTCAATTGCTCCAACGACCAGGAGACACATCCTTCAATGCTCATCTCCCACAAAGCACTATCTGGATTTGAGTCAACTCCACTTTACCCTTTGATTTGACAATGCTTGTTTCTGGAGTATAGCACAGAGCTTAGGAGATAGGCGTCTGGATCAGATCTTAAAGCCGAGACTCAGCACCACGGCTGTAAAGTGAAGATGGCAGTGCTACATAGAGGGCTGTTCTAGGCTTGGATAAAATATTCCCATCAGAGTGCTTCACGCAGCACAGCTTCCACACTCGGGGCTGCCAAGCTCTGGGCATGAAGCTTCCTGTGCCTCAAGGCTCTGTGAGTTGTGTGGAGGGGGGGAGAGTAGAGTGGGAAACAGAGACAAACCCAAAGCCCAGAAGTGCAAACACTTGAGCTGCACAAGCCTGTGGGCTCCTCATCTCACTTGACAATGCTCCCAGCCTTGGAGTGCTCGGTCAAACACCTGCAGGTGGGCTGGGCCCCTCTTTCTCTCTCCTGCCCAAGTCTGCTCCATCAGGAGGTTACGGGGTCTCTATCTTGATATGCACCCAAATATCAACACTTGCTACTTCCACTGCTGCCATCCTAGTGCTAGTCACCATCACGTGCTTGGATTATTCAAAAGACGCATCTCGATGGATTTCCCTACTTCTCACCTTGTCCCCTTAATATTCTCAAGAGAGAGGCTGAGTGGTCCTGGTGAGCAAAGGACATGGCAAAGGTCACTCCTTGGCTCAGGACCATGGCTTCCTTAGTCACGCTGAGGAAGACCCGAGTCCTCACCGCGTGGCCCCTCCCTTCTGTGGCCTCACTCTCTCCTCGCTTTCTCTGCTCCAGCTGCACGGCCATCCTGACTTTGTTCCACGCCATGCCTTGGGACCTTTTTTGCACGTGCCGTGTGCTTCCCTGAACAATCTCTCAGGTGCCTGCGCAGTCTGCACACGCACCCCCTTCACTCCAGCTGAAAGGCCACTTTCTCCGAGAGCCTCTCCCTGACTCTGGATCCTCCCAGCCTGCTTCGTGGCCCTCTAAAGCCCTCACCACTTATGAGGCAATGATAAGGGAACGCTGAGCTGTTTACCGAGTCCCTCCTCTGCCAGCAAGTGAGGGCAGGCATTGTCATTTTTATTCTATTCCCAGAACCGAGAGAGCATCTGAAACCCAGCAAATGGGCCGAGGCACAGAGAGGCCCCCTGCCCTACCCCAGGGCACCTGTGGGATGTCTGGGGCATCCCTGCCACCTGCAGTGCTCCTCTGCTTGGCTGCCTTTCCCAAGAGACCTGATGGGGGTCACTAGGATCACTCCCAGAATTCAGTCAGGGCCCAGGGCTGTGGCAGCCATCATGGGAATGAACAGGTGCCCCTTCCCTTGGGCGTCCCGGGGTGAGAGGCTCCCCCTGCTGGGCAAATGATTCCAGGAGCAGGTGCTGGGTGAGGACTTACTGTGCAGGCACTGCTGACTGACAGAGGCTGACCCCGCCCTGCAGTGCGCTGCTGTGTTATAGCTGAGGTTGCCAAGAGGGGTGAGGGGATGAATCCAGCTGTTTGGGGCTGTGGGCCAAAGTTCTAACTCAAATCTGCCTATGGCCATCTGACCGCAGGGTCTGGGATTGTGACCCCGTGCTCAGGCTCAGAGGGAAAGGACAAGAGAAGAGACAGGAGCAGCCTGGCCATGGCCAGTGGGAGAAAAACCCAGACCTTCACTTGTGTGCCTGCCTCCCCCATGCAGGTGAATCAGTGTGGCCGGCAAAGTGCCCAGTGTAGCAGACGTGCGGGTCTCAGGCTTCCTGTCTGCTCATCTACGTCCAAGTCACTCAGCTGGCCACTCCAAGTCGCTGCTGGGTGGGAGGGTCTGTGCAGGACCCCAGGTGGGAGTTTTCAGAGAGCTCTTCCCTGGTGGGAAGGACTCTGCCCTGGAGTCGCCAGACCTCCATCCTCCACCTGCTTCCACCCATGCTCAGCCCATCCCATGGCCCTGGCGAGTGCCGCACCCACTGGGCCTTGCAATCCCCATCAATAAAACAGGCACACCACAGCCACGGCTTTCTTTATAGCCACAAAGCTTAGCCCGATAAAGCAATCAATAAACCTGACTGCTTAAAATTCTGAGAATCTTTCCATCAAAAAGCACCCCACAAGGTATGAGAGTCACACACAGGTAACAAAGAATAAGCACCTGAAAGCAGAAAAACACACAGAGCCAAAACTCCCGTGTCAGTGAGCAAAAGACGACCTGACAGAGAAGGGCTGAGTGCCTGAACGAGCATTTCACAGCACGAATACAAATGGCTCAGCATGCGGAAAGGTACGTACTGTTCCAACTCTAACAGCAGCTGAGACCACAAGGATCTCTCATTTCACATCCACCAGATCACTGAAGGTAAAAAGTCCAACAATGACGCTGCTGTGGTTGGTAATGGGAGTTTGCATACCACCTGGGAGGCTGTGAGTAGCTACAACTATTCAGAACACAATTTGGCATGGGACCTGCATTGTGGCGTAGCGGGTAAAGCCGCCACCTGCAATGCCGGCATCCCATATGGACACAAGTTTGAGTCCCAGCCACTCCACTTCCGATCCAGCTCTCTGCTATGGCCTGGGAAAGCAGTGGAGGATGGCCCAAGTCCTGAGGCCCCTGCACCGAGAGTAGACCTGGAAGAAGCTTCTGGCTCCTGGCTTCAAATCGGGCAATCTGTGGAGTAAACGAGCTGATGGAAGACCTCTCTCTCTCTCTCTCTCTCTCTCTCTGCCTCTGCCTCTGCCTCTCTGTAACTCTGCCTTTCAATTAAATAAATTAATTAAAAGAGAAAGAAAACAACTTGGCTTTACTGCACGGAGATGATTATGTGTGTGTCCTGGGGCTCAGACACTTGTATTTATGTGGCATTGCATTGAATAATTTTTATTAGTATAAATATGAGTGCCTCATGTACAAGAAAATGCATCCTACACCAACAGAGAAAACATTGTATATACATGTCCATATTCTGGGGCTGTGTCATTGAAATCAATGAAAGTTCAAAATTCATTGCCATAGTTGCAATAGGCAGAAGGGACAGGTGGCTTCCACATACCACAGCTCAGATGGCTGTGAGCACGGGATCCCGCACCCTGCCCAAGGATGCTCATAACGACGCTGCTTGAAGACCAAGTAAACCAGAATGAACTCAGATGCTCGTGGAAATGGGGCTGCATACATCAATCAGGGTAGATGCACAGACAGGAACCACAAAAACCCATGGGCTTCAGCAGCTCCTGTCAGTGCCACGCCTCTCAGCAGCTTCCGATGCGTAGGGAACCAGGCACAGAAAGCCGTCTCCAGGATGCTGCTCTTTGTGCAAATAGGAGGCAAAAGGGAAGCCTCGACTGTTAGGGACGCATTGATGGGAGGGCCAGATCATTAAGGAAACCAAGAGAATTATTAGCATAAGATCCCCTGGGATCTCCGTGAGGTGGCAAGCAAGCAACTGGGCTCTTTTCCTACTGTTTTATATATATGGTGTATCCCATAACCACAATTAAGTTTTCTGTAGATGTATGATGCATTTCCTCTTTGTATGTGACATATTCCATAATTGTCCTAAAGCCGCCTGCTTAACATAATACTATTTATACACATAAATCTATATATACTATATATACACTACATATACATACATATACACTATATGTACTTTATACTATATACAATATATACACTATGTAAATACATACCATATATATACATAAAAGAACATAAAAGTAACTTATGCAAAGCAAGCAGCAAATGCAATGTGACCAAGAACAAAGCTGGAGTGAGAGATAAGAATTTCAATTAAAGAGAGAAAAAAAAATCCCATGTGTGACAGCCTCAGCCTCTGCAGGTGTTTTAGTGGGAGCAGAGTCGCTGAGCCCCGAGAGCCTGGGAGCCAGGCACCTGGAGGAGCTGAGCCTTCCCAGGCCTGGGCGCCTGGTCCTTCCCCGCACCCGAGAGCTACTACTTCCGTACTAACGCCGCTTCCTGCTCACATAACAGCGGCCGGCTATCCTCACATCACTTCTGCAACTGTACCTTTCACGCTGTTAACACCTGGCCATGAAAACGTTCCATACTCGCTGAACTGGATTTAAAACACCAGCTTTTCAGAATACCCCAAAATGTCAAATTATGCTAAAA